CCTGAGACTAAGTTGAAAGATAATGGACTAGTTTATTTGATGGAGAAAACTTCAAGACAGTATAATGTAGAATCTATGGTAAGGTTAGTACTAATAACGCATGTGCAGGTCTACAATACAAGACAGCAAGTGAGCCAGGAAGAAATACAAGATGCACACAGTCTGGAGAGGAAAACATCACTAGTAAGTGTCCTGTTGTAGCCAAGGCTCGTGCTGAAAGGGAGAATGTAATTGTTATGGAGGTTAGTTCCACTAAGGAGAGTCCTCAGGCTCCTCCCTAGAAGGAAGGGGGAGGTGCCCTCAGAGCAAAACTGCATCTAGTTTAACTTCCAACCTGTGCAAGGAAAAGACCTAAAGTGTTTTCCTGTTCCTAGAAAGGAGCAATAAAAAAAAAAAAAAAGCTTTTTTTTTAACCTCCATTAAAGTGTCACATGATTAATAAAGCACAAAATCTGTTGGTCAGCCAAGTGTGACAGGGAAACCGAGGGCCGTGCATCTGGGGTTCCCACACAGCCGGTCATCTTAGGGCAGGCATTCTAAGTAAGTCGTTTTCCTGTTGACAGCCTTCCATCTTTTACCAGGTTATTATGCACCCAGCACAGAGTAACCCTTAGTGGAAGAGGTGCATCTTAATTCTCCAGACAGAGTGAGCTTGCACACATGGATGCTTGGAAGCTAATGGCTTGACAATAACACCGGGACTCCAATGTGGGGCCAGGGGTGTGACTGACAGAAGACCTTCAAAGCTTGAAAAGTGAACCACAAAAGATGCTGTTTAATAGGCATGTGGGCATGATGCTCATGATGCCGGCATCAGCTAACCTCTCTCTTCATCCTGATGAGGGGGGGCTCAGTGGATTCACTTAGAAACAAAGTACCCACCAGGTCATAGCTGCAGAAAGGGTGCCAGCCTGAGCTAGACCGCAGGGCCTGCCCTCACCAGGACTAATGATACGGTTCTCTGTAGGAACCAGACAGCTACTTGTGGGAAGCTGATTACAATGGACATTTTTATAACAGAGGGGCAATGATTTGTCCTCACTGAAAAAGCCACTTGTGCTGGACACAGATTACACCCATCTCTTCGCTGGTCTCACTGAAGTCTCGTAAACTGCCATGGCGTCTCCCAGATGCCACCTAGAACTTCCCAGTGACTGGCTCACACCCAACACCACCTCAATGAGACCCAATGGGCTAGGAAGCTTGGAAACACACCCTGGTGCTGCCATGACACCCTGCAGGGGCACATGCTGTGAACCTGTGACTCATGTCACTGGGGGGATGCTAAGCCACAGCCGGAAACCAGGGGTAAACACAGAGGCAGCTACTCTTGCAAAATGTCCTCCTCCCATTTAGCACTGCTCTGTCTAACTGCATTTCATCTCCAAGGGGAAAAGCCCTTCCATGGGACATCCCAGCTCTAGCCCTCTGAGTCAGAGCCTGGGCTCGTCAGTTCGGCCTCCTCTCGCTGCAGGGAAATGAACACCTGCGGAAACTGCTGGCGGCTTTTTGTGGTCACTGCCACTGTGGATGCTCAGTGGGCCTCATACAGCAGCCTCACGCCCATTTTCTTCTCTTCATTCGCCTTACCCCAAACTACTGTACTTGCTTTTCTCCTTCACTCGCTCTCTGGCTTTCAATCTTTAAGTTTTATTTATTGATTCATTGATTGAGATAGGATTTTGCTATGTAGCTCAGGCTGGCCTGGAACTCACTGTAAAGCCCACAGTAACTTGGCTAACTTCCTAAGATTAGAGACACACGACGACCACATAGGCCTGGCCAGGCTTTCCTTCCAAACAAAGCACAAACTAGGAGCCGGTTAGAGCTCAGAGGGGAAAGGTACCTCCCGCCAAACCCGACGACCTGAGTTTGACCCCCAGGACTCATGGTGGAAAGGAAGAACAGACTCCGCAAGTTGTTCTCTCTCCTACATACACACCCTATGGTGTGCTTGTGCCCCCCCCCCATGCACGCGTGAACACACAGACACACACACGCACACAGGTTTCACTGTTGTTTTTTGTTTTATTTTTTCAAGACAGGATTTCTCTGTGCAGCCCTGGCTGTCCTGGAACTCACTCTGCAGATCAGGCTAGCCTCAAATTCAGAGTTCCACCTGCCCCTGCCTCCTGAGTGTTGGGATTAAAGGGTTGTGACACCACGCCCAGCTCTGCTGTTGTTTTTAATTGAAGCATAAACCAGAATGCACCGTTTTTCCTGTTGGCAATGACTCCATATAGTACTTAGAACCAAGACACGAGATGCTTTCTGTTTACCCACTGCCTCTAACCACAGCGCCCTCTTCTGGCCATGTTTCCGGAGCTCAGTCACTGGCCTCTGTTTTGAGCCTCTGTGTATTATCTGCTACTGCTTTAGGGGACCTCACTACCTCTTCATTGCCCAGGTTGCTACTCAGTGTCATTCCTGCCCTTTGCTAGTAGTGTACACAAACATCACTAGTAGTGTAGGGAATCCCATCAGGAATGTATTCATATGCTGGGATATACAGTACCCCTCTGTATCCAAGTCCCTCTGGATGCTAAGCTCCTCCCTGGATACTCAAGCCCCTTTACCTAAAATAGCATGACCTTAGCACCCAACATACACACATCCTCCTATATCCTTGAAACCATTTCTAGATGGCTCACAACATTAGTACAATGTAAATATCATGTGCACAGTCCTTCAGCCGTCTAGTCATGAAAAGGCTAGGGCTGGAGTGGGCAGCATGTGTGAGGGTCAAGGCACAGGAGCCTGGACACGTTCAGTAAAGATATGTCTTCTCAGTATTTCCAGTCTGTAGCAGATAAACTCAGAAGACATAAAACCCAAGAATACAGAAGTCATCCATGTAGTCTTTGAAATGCTGTACCCTAAATTACTGCAATAGCCCCTGGCCCATAGTTGAGGCACTCAACTATACGTTTTTGTAAGTAAACTGACTTTTGATAAAAAGAGAAGAAGAACATAACAGATAATGAAGTAGGACCACTTTGTCTGACACATCCCTAGGAGGTAAGAGGTGCTGGGAGAGGCAGGCAGCAGACAGTCAGAAGAGGGGTTGCCGAGTCAAAACCCTATGGCCTGGTTCTAGAGGAAGTTCCTTTTGCGACATCATGGACACACGTGCACCAGTTCACAGACCTACGTGACCCTTCCCCACTTTCTACTATGATTCTGTGTTGAAGGCACCCGAGCAGCCGGAGAGGAAGCAGGAATTACCACACAGACTAAGGCCGTCGGCCTAGCAATGTCGGATGCAGCGACCAGCCTGTGGGTTATCTCCAAGGAAGGAGGGGCATTCCCAAAGCATCTGGGGTAGGTACAGCACTGTGGGGTAGGGTGGTTTGGACATGAGTATCCCCCACCTTGCCGTCCTCTCCTGCAGAGCATCCCTGTTCTGTTAAACACTTCCCTGCTGATTCACTGTCTCTTGCGGGGCTTTAAGGGATGAAGGGAGCTCTGTCCTGCTCATCGCTCTCCTCTGACACACTGTCAGTGCTCACTGCAGAGGAAGAGAGGAAGTGTGAGTGGACCCAAGGAAGGACTCTGTCGGGACCAGTCTGCTCCTGACACCACCTGGGCACACACTGACGGCAGGGAACCAAATACCTGTACAAATGCAGAGGCAGGGGGACACCACTCACATGGTGAACAGGCCACTAAGCTCAAACAGCTAGAGTCTCCATACTCTTGAAGTAGGACAGGAGGGCAGGACAGGCTGGCCTCCCCCTTCCCCTGGTGGTACAGTGACCAGCGACACTGCTTCTTAAGGTTTCATGACTCCTGGGGGCAATCCTGACATCATACATGTCCTACCTACCTAGTTCGCCAGCCATTCTCGGGGCACCTGACATTTTTCTAATCCATTCCTCTTTCCACCCTGCCCCCTATTCCGTTAGGGTCTCATGTAGACCAAGTTAGCCTCAAACGCACTATATGACTGAGGAGAACCTTGAACTTCTGATTCTCCTGCTTCCATCTCCCAAGTGCAGAGATGTTGGGCACGTACCACTATGCATGGTTTCATGTAGCATTAGGGACCGAGCTCAGGGCTTTGTGAAGGCTGGGCAGGTACTCCACCAATTGGACAACATAGTTAGTCTTAAACAAGTCAGTTAATTTTGATGTTTTTTTTGTTTTGTTTTTGTTTTTCGAGACAGGGTTTCTCTGTGGCTTTGGAGCCTGTCCTGGAACTAGCTCTGTAGACCAGGCTGGTCTCGAACTCACAGAGATCCATCTGCCTCTGCCTCTGCCTCCCGAGTGCTGGGATTAAAGGCGTGCGCCACCACCGCCCGGCAATTTTGATGTTTTTAAAACCAAAGACCCCTAAAGGTTTTTGTTTCTGCTTTCTTATTAATTAAAAAAATACATAAATCATGAAATCGAGTGCTTGTGTAGGGGCTGAGGAGAAACCCCCTCCATTCCTAAGAGCCTGACAACATCTTTCAAGCTTTTCTAGTCTTTGTTGGCAGCTGAGCACATGCAGGCATGAGAGGCTTTGATGCAACCACTGAAGCACTGACCCCCCCCCCCCCGCCCCAGACGACGACAGCATCCTCACCCCAGGTCCCCAGTTGTGACTGGTGTATTTACAAGAGGGGGAAATGTGGGCACCTATGTTTGCAGCAGGGAGACTGCCACAGAGTACGCAGGTGCAGATGGGGCTGCACAGGCCAGTCGAGGAGCCCAGAGGCTGGCAGAAGCTAGGAGAGATCTGGCATGGTGTTCCTACAGCCTTCAGCAAACAAACATACCAAAAACATCCTCCACCCTAGAGCCTTGGGTCTCTACACCGGGATGGCTCTGCAGCAACTTAGGTGTGGAGACATAAGAGGAGGGAGCTGGTGTCTAAAACTCCGAGTAACCCAGATAACTACCGAAGCACTGCCCTGACCGAGAGAAAGATGGAGAAAGTGCAGAATCACCTGGGTGACTCGGACTCCCTGACATCAGACCAAAGGTTTCGGGGTTCAGAGGAAGCCCCCAAGACTCACCGGTGGATGCTTTCATCTGCCGTCGGCGCCCCACGCGGTCCAGCCCGATGGGAGTGCTCTGGGAGAAGGTGAAGGGCCGGAGGCGGGCGGAGACAGCCTTGTAGGGTGGGACCTGGTGTGCAGGCACGGGAGGCCTGGCTGCTGGCTGCGAAAGGAAGTGAAGAGCTGTGAGAAGGTGCCAGGAAGTCTCAGCTCCTGCGAGCCACAGAACGCTTCTGTGTTCTCACCCTGAACAACTGGCAGATGTGGAGTGGCTTCTGCAAACCCCACGACCAGCAGCAGGCTGCGCCAAGCTCGGGGGCAACAAGCTGTTCTAAGGTTTCCACAGCAGCCTCAGTGCGGGCTCAGTCACATTTCATCCCCGCTAAGAGTGACACCACAGTGGTGAACAGAGAAAGAGATAGGAAGGCCAAGGCCGAGACAGCAGCAGAGCGGTGAGCTACAGTTAAGGAGGTAGGTTGCCCAGAGTAGGATCTGAGAAAGCAAGGGCTGGGCCACAGCACACAGACACACATGGTCACAGATCTCCAGTGTTGCTTTGCTTGTTTTGTTTGTTTGTTTGTTTGGTGACTGGAGAGATGGCTCAGTGGTTAAGAGCACTGGCTACTACTATTTCAGAGGACCCAAGTTCAAGTCCAGCACCTACAAGGCAGCTTACAACTGTAACTTTAGTTCCAGGGAATCTGACACCCTCGCACAGACATACACACAGGCAAAACACCAGTGCACATAATATAAAAATAAGTAAATCATTTTAAAAAATATTTTATTTTACATGTACAGGTGTATGTGTCTGTGTGTTATGTCTGCCACCTATAAGTGGATGCCTGCAGAGGCCTGAAGGTGTCTGACCCCTGGTGCTGCAGTAGCAGGCAGATGTGAGCTGCCCCCCCACAGGCGTTCTAGAAGGGAGATAAGAATCATTAATCACTGAGCTGGCTCTCCTTTTGTCCCTTAGTTTGTATATCTGTAGACCAGGCTAACCTCAATCCCACAATTCCTCTGCCTCAGCCTCTTCAGTTCTAGAATTAGAGGCAAGAACCACCATGTTGGCACACAATACTATCTTGAAGTTCAGAAATAAAAGTATGTTCTAAGTATCTCAGATTATACCTCAACTGTGTCTTGCATTCAAATATATTAATATATTATAATACATTCAAATATATTGCAATTTGTTTTGGTTTAGGAATATTTCCTAACAAATAGAGTACCCTAAAAGACCCTCAACTTCACTTTTGCTTGTGTTTTCTTGTTTTTGAGGCAAGGTCTCATAGTCCGCTCTGGCCTCAAACTCTGCAGAGCTGAATGACCTGGAGGGACCATGGGTAAGCGCCACCACACTGGGCTTTTCATTTTATCCGCAGAACTCCAATCAACTGAATTAAACTAGAGTTTCTCAGTGTTTGGTACGAGTCAGACATCGTGTTGGCCCTGGCAGGAAGTGCTGTAATGCACAATCCAAGCCTAAAATCAAGTTTCTTTTTCAGAGAACTCTTACAGGAAACCTAGGAAAGTACCTAACAGGTTTTCAAAATGAAACTGAGCATATAAATTATTGTATAAACTACCTTGTGACTATCTGAGCATGAGCATGGCATTAGTTGGGCCAAGCATACAAAGAAGTATGAGTGTCTCCAAGAGTGGGCCTTTACTTGAACGTTCCATCACCTTAAAGTGCTCACTACACACTTAGGAAATATTTGCCAAATGCGCTGAGAGACCAATGGTGTTTATGGTCAAATCTGCAGCAAAACTGCAACTGAGAAGCAGAATAAGGAATGCTGCTGCTGCTGCTGCTGTATGGTAGAGAGCCTGCCTAGCATGCTCCAAGCCTACCGAGGTCGCCCCTTCCAGGAGTGGTGGATGAAGGTGTGATGAAGGCCTGGGGACGGAGAGGAAGAGAGCTGTGATATTCAGAAGACCAATTCTTCCCCGAGCACAGTCTTCTGCTTTGTTTTGGGCATGGGTGGGTGGGTGGAAGGAACACAGGGCTCCATGCATAAAAGCAAATGCTCCATCACCGAGCTACATCCACCCCCACCCCCTTCTGGTTCATCTTTATTTTGTTCCTATGCCTGCATTCTAACAACGAACCACTCTGTCTCTCAACAATCACTCCCTCAGCAAGTACGCTAGATAAAGCCAGGGTATGGTTCCCTGGCTCGGGTCGCAAGCTTTTCAGACAAGTGACAAGTCTGTGCTGTTAGCTGAGGCTCCAGGAAAGGAGATCGGAAAACAGACGATGAGAGAATGGAATGTTAGTGTGAATCCAAGCAAGTTTCAAAGTCAGGAGGAAAAGGTGTAGGAGGTCCACCCTCCCCAGAAGGAAAAGCAGTGTCCAGTTTAGTCTGCAGGGAAGACAGAGGCAAGGAGCCAAGGGTCTCTGCTGGCCACGGTTGGAGACACCAGCTCTTACTTGGACCAAGAGGTTCTCCACATCTTCTGCCTGGGTGTTGCCATAGCAGCTGACCCCTCCAATCACAGATATAGGTCGCCTCCTCCAGCCCGCCCTGGAACAGCCTGAGGGGGCGCATGGGTCCTGGCCGGTGGTGGTCACTCTTGACGGCTGCGTCCTGTCCACATGGTCGTCACCTGGGGGGTCTGCAGCAATGGCATCTTCAGGGATGGACAAGCTTCGGCTAGCCAGCTGGCCGTAGTCAGACAGCGGCCGTGGTCGGGTGCGCTTTCCTGAGCCCCATCTCCTCCTGGAGACGCGGGCCGCCTCGGTCTGCTCCTCCTCCTGGGTTGAGCCCTGCTGCCAGTCATCCTCATTCACCACCTTTGCAAATGAACAGGCGGAGTGAGCTCAGAGATGCAGGCAGGTGCAAGCGGATGGCTGCCGCCTCCCTCCCGCTCTGCAGAGGCCCAGGCTTCTTAAACTAACTGTGCCAGACACAGCAAGAACACACCCAGATGTGGATTAAATGAGCCGAACTTCATTCCAGGCCGAATTAACTCTACAGTTTAAGAGACATTTGGGGACCAGCGATGAGCTACAGTGAGACGTTGAAGAATGCCAGCGGGTCTACAATAAAATGAACATAGAACTAAGGTGGGCATTTCCCAAATTATGCTTAAACAGCAGGAGGCTAGCCACAGCAGCCAGACACCGAGTGTGTAATCAGTAAGTGTGTAACAAGAGACCCACAGCTGCCCTGAAGTCTCTTCTTTTCAGTACAGATGCTACTGACAAACAGAAGGTGCTATGCGATTACATCCAGGGCCCGGAGGGCTCGACACTTGAGGATCTCATCCCAGAGTGATGGTCTAAAGAGAGCGGACTGAACCAGGCAGCATTCCCAGAACAGCCAGACTGCAAACAAGCTGTGTGGGCCTGGACCAGTCGGGGCTAACCTTGGCTCTCAGACAGGATAACCACCATAACCCCATCCTCTATGACCGTCAGCTGAGTATGGTGGTCCACTCAGTAATCCCAGGGCTTGGGAAAGAGGACGGTGGATTCAAGCCAGCCTGGGCTACCTAAAGAAGGCTACTTCAAAAGAACAAGGACAAGATCTTGTGACTCTAAAAGAGGCAGCACTTTTTTGGTAACAGTTCCTGGATCAAGCCTAGGGGCCTGAATGTGCCGAGCAAGCACTCCACCAAGTGCTGATTTCAAGTTAGACACCTACCACTTTTAATACTTCAAATATGTTTTCCATCTTTGGAGGGGAAGGAGGAGGGCAGGGTTCTGCCATGTATCCTAGGCTAACCTACTAGCTACCATTCCTGAGTAAACAGCTATGCACCACCAGGCCCACCCAGCTTTATAAACTTCTTCAAAAGCAATCAGGAAAATACGCAGTTCGGAACTGGGCAGACTTCCCTATCCATCCCTGTCAGGGCCAGGGGCTGGTTGGGTAACCCCAGTTAAGTGGCTAAATTGCAGTCCTGGCAGGATAGGCCTTATCGGGTAGAGTCAGTTGTCACTCCACAAAAATGGTCACAGAGTAGCCATGCCCTGGACTTGCCCTGCCTGGAAATAGGTACCAGTCTACTTGGCAGATCCCCCAAAGTCTGGATGCAGGAAGGAGTGGGGCTGGTCCAGAGACTGGAGGTGGTTGTCAGCAGTAGACTCAAGAAACCTGGACATCGTCAAGTACCCAGCCAAACACACACACACACACACACACACACACACACACACACACCACTCTCTGTCTCTCTTTCATTGTGTGTGTGCTTGTCTGTGTCTGTCTGAGCAATCTTCCTACCCCGGGCTCCCCAGATGCTGAGATTATAGGGCAGCGTTACCCATCTAGCTTATCCCTGTTCCCTTTGTAGAAACACAAGCCACACAGGCTATGAAGCCGCGGGTTGAAGGAGGAGCCTGGGATATGCAGAGTAGGCAGAGTCGTCTACACTGGAAGACAGGGAGGGCAGCAGAGGACGCAGGTGACCAAGGGATGACACAGCAATCCCAGGCGCCTGGCCCTGCCCTGCCCGTGAGACAGTCTGGGCGAGAAGAAAGTTAAATGGTAGAGACTTGGGAAGAGAAACCCCGTGCCAGTGGCAAGAGCTCTAAAAGGAAGGCTTGTTTAGTTTCCACTCTGACGTGTATCAGTGTTTGCTAAGATTATACATGAGTTCAGGGCCAGCCTAGATAACATAGTGAGACTCCCAACTTAAAAAATAAGATGCAGTATACCTGAATCAAATTAAAATGCTGGACCCCATAAGTAAGTACAGTTCAGCAACCTGAAAACCTGTGCTAGCCCAGCGACAGTGGCTCACACCTTCAATCCCAGCACTTAGGAGGCAGAGAGAGGTGGATCTCTGCGAGTTCGGGGCCAGCGTTGTCTACAGATTGAGTTCCAGGACAGGCTCCAGAGCTACAGAGAATGCCTGTCTCGGAAAAGCAAACACCTGTGCTAAAGCAGACGCTGGACTGTACAGACGCTCTCCATCAACCTCTTCGTTCTTCATGCTAGAAACACTGAGAAAGAGAGGAGTGGAGCGGTTTGCCCAGGGCCACACACCCACTCAGGTGTCCTGTGAACTTCTATTCACAGCCTCTGTCTATGCCGCTGTCCCGTACCTTCAAGACATCTGTGAAGGGGCAGATTATACTCTATAAGTTCTGTGATCCCAAGACATTTGAGAAAAGTCACCCCCATACCTGCCTATAAAGTTGCCTGCCTGTAACAGTCTCCCCAAAGAATTCAGTGGTCCTAAGGTCCCTCCCCTACACTCATTCCTTATACTGCTTGGAGAGGGGGAGAGCCGCACCCCTTGTTCTCCCCATTTACTTTTCTATAGACCTATTTCTCCTAAGAGACACTCATTCCCACTCAACTTCCTTCCCCTCCTTCTTTCCCTACGGAAATGGTAGAGAAACCGCTAATCCTCACCACCCACCGGAGGTATTTTTCCGTAAACTCGCTCATACCCATAACCACAAGAAGATAGGCATGTTTTCATCCTCCCTGACATCACCACGGGAAAAGGAGAAAGCATAACATTAACACCGTTTCCTGAATTCTGTTTGAAAACCAGGTTATGATGGGGGACCTGAAACAAATCACTATCATCTGACACAGACTACTTAAGTACACGGTAAGAATAAATCCATTTATATGATGTCATTTCAAAGGGGTCAGAGGCACCTTGCTAGAAAAACAAGTGCACAACACAAAATCTGAGGCATGGTGTAGTCTAGCTACTCACAAAGACATGCATGGTTAATTATTTTCCAAGGTTTTAGATTTTTGTTGTTGTTAATGGCCAGAAGCTTTGTTTCGTGCTTATGCAACACGCGACTTGTATTTTCTTACCAATGCCAAAAATAAATATACCAGGAAGTGACTGCGGCTGGGCAAGGTAGGCACAGTCAAAGTAGCCTAGCAGGTATTCCTGCCACACTTCTGTGCCTGCTACTGTCTGAATCCAGGCAGCACAGAAGAACTCCAACTGTAAGGACTTAGATTGTCAAACCTTCGCTGAAGATACAAGAGAAGCCACCCTCTAAACAGCACGGAAATGTCCCACTGATCCCAAAATCTAGCTACAAAGTATCCCATCAAGCTGAAACATCCATTTCAAGAGAAACCTCCTGTGAGCATTCAAAGGCAGTTCCTCAGCCAAACAGAGGCAGATCCCTTCCCATGCCAATGTGGAACTGGCTGACCCTTTATGCACACTAGGCGTGCCAGGCAAGGGCTCTGCTAACAGCTGCACCAATTCTAAACAATCTTTTTGTTTTAAGCAGAACTTTTGTGCTTCCGGAATACTGCCCAGGTTCACTCGGAAGAGTGGAGAATACCGGGCTCCTTCTTAGGATTTTAAACACACCCTCCAGCGAACGTCCTTCTCTCCAGGTTGAGAACCTACCTGAGATTTAGCCATGGGCAGGGGCTGCCCACACACACACTGGAGGAACAGGCAGTTGACCATATCCATGTTTTCCAGAGTTGCTCAGGTCTTTTAAAAACTATGATCAGGGCTCTACATGGCCACACAGCACTCTGCCTGGTCCAATCCAGCCGGCTCAACTCAAATCTCTCAGAGGCTCAGAAGCTTGAATGACCAAGTTACACCCAAGTCATAAACCTCTGTAAACAGACCTTGCACTGTGGGACTGCCCTTTTTAACTCTTGTCTTTCTCAACTCTTCTGAAGTGGCCTTCCTAGTCGGTGAGCAATATTTTCTTCCTATATAGGACTTTTTTTTTTAAATTACAGAAATAAAAGACTATGTAAACGGTTTGCGTGAAACATTTCTGCAAAAAGAAATTATTAACAGGTGATTAAAAAGAAAAATGCTTAAAAGAATGTCTACTCAAAAGCCAGGCACACAGGGTTAGCTGGTAAATGCCCCAAGACAGATGGAATCCTACCCACTCCATGTATCTGTGACTGTGCTTTGGGCTCCCCCTGGATTAGGTGGGTTCTAAACCAATGGGTGTTGACTTTATATGCAGAGGAAAATTTGGATACAAACAGAAAGGAAGTAAGCTCTCAAAGATGTGATCCTGCCTCCTGGGATTTATCTACCTGGAAGCAGGGTTTCAGTAGCCCAAGTTAGGGTCAATCTTGACACCTAGCTGAGGATGACCTTGAACTTCTGCTGTTTCTGCCTCCGCTCCCCAACTCTTGGGATTAAAGTGTGCTAGGCAGAAATTCTACCAGCTGAGCTCTGTCCCCAGTTATGGAATGACACATTTACAAGCCAGAGATTGTCACTGCCAAACTCTGACTCTGACCTTGTGGTTTCCATACCTGTGAGGTGGGAACTGTCTGCTGTTTTAGCCATCTGCTGCATGTTCCGTGTTAGGCAAGTCTAGCTAGCTGAGACAGCAGGGGAGTTCAGAAGAAAACGTAACACGTAATGAAATTAAAGATACTCTACGAAGATTAAAAAAGAAACTGATGGGGACACAGGTTTCTGAAAATGCGTATCAATCAAGCTTACTTCCCAGAATGCTCCTGGAGAACCACAGGCCCGGACAAAGTTAGGAGATGGAAGACAAAGGGAAGACCCTCTACAGCAGTGGTTCCCAACCTTCCCAACGCTGTGACCCTTTAACACAGTTCCTCACGTTGTGGTGACTCCCAACCATAAAATTATTTTCATTGCTACTTCATAACCATAACAGTGCTGCTGTCATGAATCATAATGTAAATATCTGGTATGCAGGATGTCTGATAGGGGACCCCCAAAGGGGTTGAGACCCACAGCCTGCTTTACCGTGCTTTACAGGGATGCAGAGCACAGTCTCCTTGCCTGAAGGCCGGAACACACACTTCCATATTTAAACTTCCTGACCACTCCAGAGGAAAG